GTGTAACGCGCCTCGCGAATCGCAAGGCTGGCACACGGCGTCATGGATGACACATTCGACTCGATGCGCGTGAAATTAAAAAGTGCGTCCTGTGTCGCACGAGAAGCTCAACGGTGGCATGGACGACGTAATGACACGTAGTGCGCGAGACAGGGTGAAAAAAGGTAAGGTGAAGGGTTTCGAATTAAGGCCCGGTGCTAACGATTCGCGTGATACGCGGTGACCGTTGGCGCGTGCCGCACGAAACAGCTGCCAACAGCTGCCGCCGAAAGGGATCGCCTTTTGGCCTTTTTATTTTACTTGCTCGTCCGCCGCTCTATCGTGAATACCGCGAACGTTGATACACAAAGAATCTTTTTTACGAAACTTTTAACTTGAGAAAGACAGTGCTTTTTACAAAACGTGAAGGGCCGCCAAGTGTCGCGAGACCGGCTGTGTGTTTCGACACTCGACCGTCATTAATATGTGATAAAATACGATTATCGTATTTAGTTGTACTATTGTTTAAATATGTGCGACTGTATAATATCGAGGTTAAGTAAGACGGTAACACACAACAGACTGTGATTAAGTATAAATAAACTAAAAATTCGAGTGTTTTTTTTTATGGAAAGTAGATTAATAAGATTGGCAATATCATATCGAGAAGAAATTGAGTAGAAAAAACTAAGTCTCTCTCTTTCTCTGTTACGCAAATTTTACTGCATAGACTCTAATAGAGTTAAGCTAGACAAAAGTCAACGATATGACATAAAAATTTGAATTATAAAATTTGACGGTTGCACAAGTCTAAAGATAAAACCAATTCCCGTATACGTACTTAATCCCGGACATTCTCATTATTTTGCTCTTTGAATACGAATATTTAAACTTTCAACATAAAAAGAAAAAAAAATATATATATTGAATATATACATATACTTTATGTTGAAAGTTTAAATATTCGTATTTAAAGATCAAGATAATAAGGACGTCCAAGATTAAGTACGTGTGTCCGAGCTTCGGTACTTTTACTTTATCTCAGAGAAAACTTGAAAAAAAATTCACCGACGAAAGTGTAGCGGCCATTCTAACGTATTAAGAGCAGTATTTTATGCGTGAGAGAGCACAGAAGGCTTACGTATCGCGTCTCGATCTGGCCAAAGTAGGCGGAAGAATGGCGCAAGGTGTTCTCGAAGTCAGGTGGCCGCCTTCCCTTGTGCACCTGTTGTCGGACGGTTGAACTTGCATTTCATCAATTCAGGTTAGAAGGGTAGAAGACGAATATCGGGAAGTTTAAGATAACGCGTATACGCGATTTGTAATTTCTCATTTCGATGCGCACATTATTGTTAACGTATATTCCGGTGCAAAGATAAATTGTTTCTACAATTAACTCTTATGCTGTCACGAAGAATCGCGTGCCCGCATCAACTTCCACGAAACCACAATAAGCCAGAGACAATTACTAAGAGCGTTTAATTTTTAAAGTATTAAATCAAATTCATACTGATAACTATCTAGGTTACGCGCTATTAAATACTAATTATAATAATTATGATCATTTATAAATAGTTTTTGCTCAGGCTTGGGTAAGACGCACCGTGGTAATATTTTATTCTGTTATTAAGTATAACCGAGACGTCCTGTGTGCGTGTGTGTGTGTGTGTATGTGTGAATGCAATTATTTCAATTAAATATAAACTGCAGAACCTGATTTCTTTCATGATACTAAATTGAAAATGTTGCGAACTTGAAATGACCCAAGATTGTCACACCTTGGACGAAAATAAATCACGAATGTTATGAAGGTATCGAATCAATTTATAAATAACACAAGCCGACAAGAAAAAATTTGTTATAGAAGAAAAAGAAAATGCTAACAAGGAATCAATATGTGAATCAAAGTATTCGCTTATTTTTATTTAGCGCGACTTATTATATTTATATTATAAATATAAATATATATTATATACATATATATTTATAATATAAATATAAATATATATATTTATAATATAAATATAAATATATATTATATACATATATATTTATAATATATATATAAATATATATATATTTATAATATAAATATAAATATATATTATATACATATATATTTATAATATATATATAAATATATATATATTTATAATATAAATATAAATATATATTATATACATATATATTTATAATATATATATAAATATATATATATTTATAATATAAATATAAATATATATTATATACATATATATTTATAATATATATATAAATATATATATATTTATAATATAAATATAAATATATATTATATACATATATATTTATAATATATATATAAATATATATATATTTATAATATAAATATAAATATATATTATATACATATATATTTATAATATATATATAAATATATATATATTTATAATATAAATATAAATATATATTATATACATATATATTTATAATATATATATAAATATATATATATTTATAATATAAATATAAATATATATTATATACATATATATTTATAATATATATATAAATATATATATATTTATAATATAAATATAAATATATATTATATACATATATATTTATAATATATATATAAATATATATATATTTATAATATAAATATAAATATATATTATATACATATATATTTATAATATATATATAAATATATATATATTTATAATATAAATATAAATATATATTATATACATATATATTTATAATATATATATAAATATATATATATTTATAATATAAATATAAATATATATTATATACATATATATTTATAATATATATATAAATATATATATATTTATAATATAAATATAAATATATATTATATACATATATATTTATAATATATATATAAATATATATATATTTATAATATAAATATAAATATATATTATATACATATATATTTATAATATATATATAAATATATATATATTTATAATATAAATATAAATATATATTATATACATATATATTTATAATATATATATAAATATATATATATTTATAATATAAATATAAATATATATTATATACATATATATTTATAATATATATATAAATATATATATATTTATAATATAAATATAAATATATATTATATACATATATATTTATAATATATATATAAATATATATATATTTATAATATAAATATAAATATATATTATATACATATATATTTATAATATATATATAAATATATATATATTTATAATATAAATATAAATATATATTATATACATATATATTTATAATATATATATAAATATATATATATTTATAATATAAATATAAATATATATTATATACATATATATTTATAATATATATATAAATATATATATATTTATAATATAAATATAAATATATATTATATACATATATATTTATAATATATATATAAATATATATATATTTATAATATAAATATAAATATATATTATATACATATATATTTATAATATATATATAAATATATATATATTTATAATATAAATATAAATATATATTATATACATATATATTTATAATATATATATAAATATATATATATTTATAATATAAATATAAATATATATTATATACATATATATTTATAATATATATATAAATATATATATATTTATAATATAAATATAAATATATATTATATACATATATATTTATAATATATATATAAATATATATATATTTATAATATAAATATAAATATATATTATATACATATATATTTATAATATATATATAAATATATATATATTTATAATATAAATATAAATATATATTATATACATATATATTTATAATATATATATAAATATATATATATTTATAATATAAATATAAATATATATTATATACATATATATTTATAATATATATATAAATATATATATATTTATAATATAAATATAAATATATATTATATACATATATATTTATAATATATATATAAATATATATATATTTATAATATAAATATAAATATATATTATATACATATATATTTATAATATATATATAAATATATATATATTTATAATATAAATATAAATATATATTATATACATATATATTTATAATATATATATAAATATATATATATTTATAATATAAATATAAATATATATTATATACATATATATTTATAATATATATATAAATATATATATATTTATAATATAAATATAAATATATATTATATACATATATATTTATAATATATATATAAATATATATATATTTATAATATAAATATAAATATATATTATATACATATATATTTATAATATATATATAAATATATATATATTTATAATATAAATATAAATATATATTATATACATATATATTTATAATATATATATAAATATATATATATTTATAATATAAATATAAATATATATTATATACATATATATTTATAATATATATATAAATATATATATATTTATAATATAAATATAAATATATATTATATACATATATATTTATAATATATATATAAATATATATATATTTATAATATAAATATAAATATATATTATATACATATATATTTATAATATATATATAAATATATATATATTTATAATATAAATATAAATATATATATTTATAATATAAATATAAATATATATATTTATATTATAAATATAAATATATATATATATTTTTTTCAAATTGCTGGTTTTTCAAAATAACACTCCAGTTAAGTGCAAAACTTGACGTGATGGAGCATTTTGATCAGCGACATGGTTTTTTGTGAGTGAAAATCTACGAGAAACACTTACTCTGATCAAAATTACTGATTAAAGTTACAGAAGCGATTAACGTCGTGAGAGAATAACGACGTTTTATTTCGAAATCGCTCCTGAGAGGATCCGAAACTGCGGCTCGGTCGATGCGTTTTTTTTTTTCACGGCGACGTCTGATTTCTCAGGCGGCACTAACCATCTGCCGTTGTCGGATTTCAGGCGGCTGAGGGCAGGCCTCACATCAGGCACCATCGGGAGGGCTCGCACTGCAGCAAATGTAGTCCAGGTTCGGGCATGATTAGGCGATGCGTTCGCGGCCGCGACACTCAGTGCAGATGGTGTCCTGCCGGCACTTACAGCCCGCATCACAGTATGCAGCCCTGCTGGAACTGCGCTAGATGCGGCCCGGGTCTCTACGAGGCGCATCCGTGCACACCGCGCTCAGACACCGTCTGCGATTCTTGCCATCGGCCCGTGCCGGACAATCCGGACTACCGGCGGAAATGCGAGGGTCGCGCGAGATTCTTCCTGGCACCGGAGGACGCGCGCAGCACCGCCGAGGAGAGCGTGCTGGTGAACGAGCCGGCGTACCAGTTTCAGCTGAACGACCGGGAGCGGATACTGGAGAAGGACGTGGAGGCAATCATGAAAGACCAGGCGGCCGGCCGGCAGGAGGACTCGCAGAGGGTCTAATTTCCGCCCGGATGTCGGTTTCGGCTGATGAAGATGGTGCTGTCGACGTACCCTCGTACGTCGATATGGAAGTAGGCCAGTCGGTTGTCGCGAGTTTATTCGCAGATCGGCTTCAGGCTCCTTGCGGACTCGATAGATTGATACAAGTCGTACACGGAGAAGGTATTATAACGAAAGTCGTTAGAATTATATTTCTTTTTACGATGTCTCTTGTCGTAAAATTGAATCATACTGAAATTGTAGCATAAATTACTGCGAAAATATTAAATTTGTAGCGATCAATTTGCAAAAAAACATTCAAGTCATCTGCGATAATTTTGTATTAAAAAGCGCATATAATTTTTAAATATAATTCTGTACAGTCCAGGATTATTATAAAAATTTGGCTGTAATTTTTGCTACAACATTTCCCCCGTGTATAAGAGAGTTAAGATAGATTCGTAGGGAGACAGAAATTACGTGCGTTCGACATCGATCGATGTCGATCCTACACTACTAGTCAATTAGCACGTAAGGAGTAACGCTTGGTCTAGGAGCAACGTAGGGAAAGACCGAGGCAAAGCAGGTTTAGGGCGCGGAACAGGATTGATCGTTCCGGTGAACTTGTGTCCCATTCATGTATTTATTGCGTGAAGATGTATTTATTGCGGAAAAGGAGTCGCGAAATGTTCCTTTTAGAACACAAAAATGCGCGCTCTTTCCTGAGTTTCATTAAAATCACAAAAAAGAAGACACAGCAATTAAAGAAGAGAAAGATTTGATTTGAAAGGAACAGTCTAATGAGCGAAATCGTCGCGTTAATAATATTCTCCACCGTGAACGATAATAAACTCTGAATTGTCGTATTAGTTAACCCTTATTGTGTACTTTGGGATCATATAAGATCCCAGAAAAGTAAATAAATAAAATAAATAAAATAAATAAAGTAAATCTATAAAAAAATAAAAAATAAAATAAAATATAATAAATCTATATTTTGGAAAAACTGTTTACTTCTTTTCACAAAAATCATAATTTTGATATTCAAAATAAATACCTTTTTTTGAAAATCCTGCTATTGTACTAATTTTTTTCTTAAAGAGATATCTCTCGAGAGTAATTTGTTAAAATTCTACTTTGAAATATCAAACATTGTGTCAGTTATGATTTTTGGAGCAAATCAAGTCATTTTTTCGTTTTTTGGGCTTCCCAATTTTTTTCTTCATTCAAAATCAAATTTCGTCTAGAAAAATTATTCCGTCATATAAAAAGATGTTTGAAATATATTCTGGAATTTTTTTTAAATCAAAAGGAATAATTTTATTGCAGCAAACATTTTTGTAGTTGAAGTCGCGAAAGATCCCAGTATGCCCATTATGTGATTCTACTGAAGTGTGCACAATAAGGGTTAAACGGTCTTCTCTGCGACGTCAATGTGACGTTCAAACGGCAATTTATTCGTTCTCATCGCATTCAGTTCATTACAAGAGAGAATTCCGGTCGTTCGCGTCGTGCGGATTGTTATATCAGCGTAGAGACACAGATCCTTCTCGCGCAAACGATTACGCACTTGGCGCTGTGTTAGATCTGACTTATACGTGTCGTGTAAAGTGGGCGTTAAACGATCATCGTTATTCGCGAGCCCGCCGCTCGTGGCTGCGTGATCCCCGTCGCGGAAGAATGTTCGCATTGCTAGACGTTTACAGGCGTTACACAGTTATTAACATTATATTTATTATTTCCGTTCCCGGTCATAGGTCTCGGAGCGTTGCGCACGGAGACTCTCGCGTTTTAAAGCATACTTCACATACACTGAGAGACATTATCCGATAAAAAATTAACAAAGGGATATTCCCGATTAAATTCCGATCAATTTTTATGTCCAGGATATTCCATTAAATTTTTAATTGGATATTTCCGATCGCAATGGCATTTCATTAAATAAACCAATGAAAAAGCTATGAATCGATATTTCTCATCGGACGTTTCCTGAGCGAATACAGAAATTTATCGGTATTTTGATCGGAAATTGTTAATTTTTGATCAG